ATCACCAGACTAGTCAGTGGTGCATATTGTGCTGGTCAAATAAGAGCATTCTGTAGGACTCTTTTTCCCTAAAAGAGACTTTTAATCCTCTCTTTTGTTTTCGGTAGGGCTTTCTCGTGAGGCCGCCGCCGCCAAAACGAATAAATGCTTTATTACCTGCATACACAGCACCTTACTGGTGCGGACTTGCTTTGTGCGTTAAACCACAGAGTCATTGGTCTGCGTACCCTGGGTCCGTTTTCATTATCTCCGACTAACGTTGTGCCCTACTCTATGTTTGTAAATACACTACGGAGTGGCCGGGCGAAAGCTAAAATTGTTTCTGGACCGTCAAATGGGGGTACTTGTCCTGTTTCTAAATTGCGTAGTAGCTGCAAAGAAACTATGCAAGAAGCATTTGGCCATTTGCGTAAATGTCAAGCTGGTAGGGAAAGGGTCGGGCGCTTCGCAGTTCTGGCTTTTTGTGCCTGGGCGTGGTACAATAAAAGATTTACCTCTTACATGTTCGTTTCATTTTTTGTGGGGGAAAATTTGCGCAGATTTAGATATTAGGCATTTTTGAAGCCAACTGCGTATCTTTGTTTACGAAACTATTTCCGTCATCCTTGTTTTGTACCACATGTTTACGGGCAAAATAAGACCTATTTTCGAAGTTTTTATATTCTTAAACTTGTTCAGCCGGTTTTATGCTGCCTGCGAGCAGAGGAAAGTGTGCATATTCGCAGTGTGGTGTGCGATAGTTATTATCTTAGAAAATTACATGTCGCTGTCCCTTTTCATCCAAATTATTCCATATTTGATAATTAAAGAATTGTTTTAAACATATTTCACATAAAAAGGATACTGTGCCAACCTGTCGACCTACTACGGTATGTACCACCCGAGCTATCTACATTTACTATCGGGATTTGGTTATAAGGTTTTATCAGTTTTGCAACCTGCATGTTCGTTATCCCTTCGGATGTGGACCCACTTGAAGGCCAAAAAAGTACTCATCTGCCCCGTCGCTTTCTTCTCTGCACATTTGAAAGCCTTTGAATTCATAAGATTTTATATTATCGTTTTGAGTTTTCCCAAGCTGTTTTGCCATGTAATGACAGCATAAGTCCCTTGACTTATTCAAAGTCACACTCATTACCTAATGCGCAAACAGTTAACTTCTTAAGATATATACCCTTGTGTGGTGGTCGTTAACTGACATAGATGACCTAAACGACGTTGGGACATTTTCCACAAGTTACTTTTGAACTAAGTGATTAAAAATGCCGACGTATGCGGGAGTGTTGTTTGCTTTGATTAACTCTGGGCTGGTAGGTGAAACGGGAATGAGTGTGATTGTTCTTCTTTAGGACAGTCTCACCGTTAGTTTAACATCTTACACACAGCGGATGTATCTTACATAAACTCATTATCTTAGAGTATCTTTTTACTGAATATTTTATGCTGAATTCTCACCATGCCCATTCTAGACTTAAAGTAGCATAAGTTATCGTGAAGAAGAGTGCTATTGTTTTAGTGCGAACTAAATTCGTCTGAATGCTTTGTTAACGAGAGCACGCTCAGTAATTCCTAAGATGGAATTTCCTCCTCTAAGACGTGACAAGTGTTCCGCGCTCGATACACTCTCAGTTTTCGATGAATGGTATCCCAGTGTTATATCATAATGAAATTAAGTGTTGGCGAAGCAAAAAAGGACAGTTTTGTCCTTTGATTAACAATTAACTTTTGTTTGTTGTCATTTTGCAAAACATTGCGGTCACCAGACGCCGTAATCCTGCTGAAGTCATACCTTGTTATATGAATTAAAACAAAAACTGGTGTCCGAATATATAAAATATAACTATAGCCTCCATTTTTCTATATATTTTTGTTTTATATGTCGAGCTACCAGTCCAGCCGCCTATAGCTAACAGGCTGGCATATGTCCAACTATTATGACACTAACATT